CATCAAAGTGTCGAGCAATATTACAAACTTCGAGAACAATGCTAGCAAATTCTCCTTCTATAAAAGTTTCCCTTTTCCCATTTTAAAGTGTGAGATGTAATTATGTATTGAAAAAGGGCAAAAAAAATTTGCTGTGTAAGAAATATTTGGCAGAAATCTCAAATACTTTTACCATAATCGAATTAGAGTTAAGTAAGCACATATTAATCAAATAGTGACACAACAATAATAAGTACTGTGGGTAATGACATCACTGTAGAAAAATAAAAGTGTAATAGTACAAACTTCAAGAAGGATGCCAACAAATTGCCCATCTAATGAAGATGAATCTTTCTCTATTTTTTTGTTTGTTTGTTTATACCTTTTAAGTAGAGATATTTATTATATCTCGAATTGTGTACACGAACTTTTGCGGTTAAAGTTCAAAAATTTCAGTATCAGCCACTTGACGTTCATCCGATGAATCTGTTATGGATATTTCGTATCCCCCCTTTTTAATTTGATTATTCACCATGTACGAGGATCCCCGCTAAGCACCCATGGCTGAATGGTTAAAGCGCTCAACTCATAATTGGTGAATTTTTCCGGAATTGCAACTACCCATTGCAAAAAATTTGGTTGACTCATTTGATGCATGCACATAAAGTGAATCTTTTGTAGTTAAAATTGTTCATAGAATTAAATTGGATCAAATGTTCGGTTGAAAGAGATCGAGTATCAAATATAAACAATCAAATAAGTTTGAATAAGATTTCGATCGACCAGATCGAGTGGCACGAAAAAGTTCGAGTACCAAATTGAGATGGTTGAAATAACTAATAAGTATAAGAAAGGGTTCCGTTATTTGGTCAATGAGGAATGTACAAAATTGAAAGTTAAATATCAATACTATCGAAAAATAAAAGTGAAACTGTATAAACTTCAAGAACGATGCCAACAAATTGTTCATCCAATAAAGACGAGTGTTTCTCCATTTTTTTTATGTACAAGTAATCAAATCCGTTTTTTATTTGTTTATACCTTCTTGGGTAGAGATACTTGTTACATCTCGTATTGTGTAAGCTAATTTTGCCGGTTAAAGTTCAAAAAATTAATTACTCATTAGACGTATGCATATAAAGTGAATCTTTTGCAATTAAAGTTGTGAATAGAGTTATTTTCGCAATGTATTGTGCATCTACTAAAGCTAGTCTTATTTTATTTTTGTACATTTTAAGGTAGAGATATTTATTACATCTCATCTCGGATTGTGCAAATGGGCTTTTACAGTTAAAGTTACAAAAAAATTAATCATTCGCTCGACGTATGCATATGAAGTGAATCTTTTGTAGTTAAAGTTGTTAACATGATTAAATTGGATCAAATCTATGTACAAAAGAGTTCGAGTATCCAATGAAGACCATAAAGTAAGACCGAATTAGAGTTGGATCCATCAGATTGGGTGGTATGAAAAAATCGAGTACCAAGGTGCGATGGCTAAAATAAGTCTAAACAAGTGTTCTACTGTTGTTACAAAAGTTTTTTGACCGAAATTGTCATTGGCAATGTCTTGTGAAAAAAATGAAAGTTTAATAACATCGCTGAAAAATAAAATGTTAAATATAAAGCGAAATAGCACAAACTTCAAGAACGATGCCAATAAATTGTCTATCTTTGGATGAGCCTTTTCTCTATTTTTTGTTTGTTTCATACCTTTTTATGTAGAGATTTATTACATCTCGAATTGTGTAAACCAACTTTTACGGTTAAAGTTCAAAAAATTAATGAGTCGTTTGACGTATGCTTATAAAGTGAATCTTTTGTCATTAAATTTGTTAATAGAATTAAATTGGGTCAAATGCTTGGTATCAAAGAGGCGGGCTATCCAATGACGACAATAACGTAAGCTTGAATTAGAGCTCGACCGATCAGATTGGGTGGTATAAAAAAGTTCGAGTACCAAATTACGATGGTTAAAATAAGTCTACGCAAGTGTCCGGTCGATGTGATAGTAGCAAGAGTTGATATATAACTCTGAGTAAAGGGTTCGATCAACTAGACCGAGTCGTGAAAGGTTAAATACGTGTACCCCCTGGTATTTTTACCAGCCAGTCACTCCATATCGATCGCTTACTCCACCTGCTGTCCAAAATTCTCAACGCATACACTTTGTATGTCCGCAAGAAAATGCCAAATAGATCTGTAGTGTCTCTCCATAGATTTAAACATATATTTACACAAGAAAATGGCAAAAATCCCCTAAATTTTTGTAAAAAAATTGAGGGGATTTGATCGAATTTTCATACACACACAACTAGAGAAAAAAGTGTAAGAATCCCATAAATTATTGTGAAAAGATGAGGGGAATTGATCGGATAAATGCGCTCCCGGACGAGTTGATTCTAAAAATTTTCCTGCACCTGGATTCGAAGATGAGCCGGGACGCCTGCTCTTTGGTGTGCAAGCGGTGGCTGATGCTCCAGAGGCTCGGCCGCCATACCATCCATGTTGGTGCCTCCGCCAGTCCCCACGTCCTAATTGACCTCCTCGCCCGCCGGTTTGTCAATGTTAGGAACGTGTTCATCGACGAGCGCCTCTCAGTTTCGCCCCCCGTCCAATCTGTAAGAATTCGTTTAATTTGAATGATTTGATGAAGAATCTCTTTTCCTGTTGATTTTTGCATTTTTATATTATTTGATTGTGTTGCATAGCTGATAACAGAAACCTGAATTGATGTTATTAGGTTAAATAAAGCTGTAAATGAATGAAATGTTTATTTTAAAAATTTTTTACTGCAAGGTGCTAGGATTAGGGTAGTTAACTTGGAGTTTTAGATGGGACAGGTGGTTGACGATAGAAAATGGGATGGTGTAATTTGACCGTCCAGACTGAGAAATAAATGAAAGATACTTTTTTGCTCAATCTCGTATGTTTGAATGTACACCTGACAATCATGATAAATGCTCAACATTAACCCACCATCAGAAAATCATATAATCGTGTTATTATGTATGCCCCTAGTTACAAAATGCTAAAGAGTTGTTTGACCATCCACATGTTTCCAAAATACGGTATTATTTGATGGCACAATAGTTGAGACTAAACTTGAAGTGCTGCACTCTCATCTTTATTTTGCAATTGTGTTGATCAATAAACATAATTGAATGCTTAGTTTTTCTGGGAGTTTTGCATGATTGGTTAATTATAACTAAATCTAAAATGTGGGACCATTCTTATTTGACTTCTTCTTCACTTTCCTTGAGTTATCTATCTAAGATTCTAAATACGTCTTTTGTTGTTCATGATGCAGGGGAGAAGACAACGTGCTGATCAGTCTCCCCTTTCGGCCCTCAGACTTCACTGTTTGAATGAAGAAGACAGCGGGCTGGATTCATACTGCTTATCAGATTCTGGCTTGTCTGCTATAGGAGATGGCTTTACAAAACTTGAGAAGTTGAGCTTGATATGGTGCTCTAGCATTACTAGTGCTGGGATACAAGCTATTGCTGGGAAATGCAGATTCTTAAAATCGTTGGATTTACAGGTGAATATGCAGATTTTTATTTGGGCTTTCCATTCCATTTGCAGAAATTATTTCTCTGTTTAATCCAACTCTGGATGGATCAAGATTTTTACACACAATATCTATATCATCAAGATTATACTTGCACTTCAGTTATCCATGCTTTTGCTATGATGACATGGTTTTTCCTTTCGCTTATGTTTCAGTTTTTCAGGTTTAAAGCTCACCTATAATTATCTTCTGCTTGCTGTTTAAATTTGTGACATTCCGAAGTAAACTTTTGTTTCATCTTCTTCTTGAAGGGGTGCTATATCGGGGATGCAGGTCTAGCAGCTGTTGGGGAATGTTGCACACTACTTGAGGATTTAAATTTGAGATTTTGTGAAGGTTTGACCGACACAGGAGTGGTTCAGCTAACCTTTGGTTGTGGGAAGACATTGAAATCACTTGGTATTGCTGCTTGTGCAAAGATTACCGATGTCTCATTAGAAGCTGTGGGATCACACTGCAAATATCTTGAGGCTTTGTCATTAGACTCCGAGAACATCCAGAACAATGGCTTGATTGCCATAGCCAAAGGATGCTGCCTGTTGAAAGATCTGAAGCTACAGTGTGTTAACGTAATGGATGAGGCTTTACAGGCGGTTGGCATCTTTTGTTCATCATTGGAGTTGTTGGCACTATACAGTTTCCAGAGATTCACAGACGAGTCAGTTTTTTCTGGACTTTTTCATCGATTCAAGTCTTAGTTATCCTTTTTCACCCCCAAAAGTATGGCATACCCTTGTTCTCTTTGGAATCTTAGCATTATCAGCTTGCATTTTCTCTTCTTAATGTTACTGATTTCAGTCAAGCGAATGAATTACATAAATATTAAGGTTATGTTCTTGATGTGGTCAAATTTGAGGGCTGGTTTCATTCAACCACCTGGCCTTTTAAAATGCTTGTGGCTCCACTATCTCTGGATTTGACCTAGACATGTTTTACATTTTTGCTTGTTGATACCCTATTATAATTTATACCTTTCAAAAAAAACATTTTTGCTTGTTGATACCCTATTATAATTTTACTGAGGGTGATTGGTTTGACTGTGGTGCACTTTTGCAATTACACTTCATTTTAAAGTACTAGCTTATTGTCAAAAAATTTGCAAACTTCTGCAGGAGCCTTGTTGTGATTGGGAAAGGATGTAAGAGGTTGAAAAATCTTACCCTGAGTGATTGCCACTTTCTGAGTGACAAGGGTTTAGAATCTGTTGCGACTGGTTGCCCTGAGCTTACGCATCTTGAAGTTAATGGTTGCCACAATATTGGAGCACGTGGTCTCATTTCCATAGGAAAATCTTGCAAGTAAGTATTTTGCATTCACTGTCATCCTCCCCTCCTGTAAGTTTTTTTTTTTTTTGTCCCATGAATTTCTCTTACCTCCTATGGCTTCATAAAAGAGGCAACCTTCCCTTTCGGGCAGTGCCGTGCTAGCTGAGGCCTGTTGCCCAAATGGGCCAATTGACATTTCAATTAATGGACTGCATTCTACCTGCTATCATCTCTTGATTGAGTCCTGGGTTTTGATAAATACTGATCATCTTTATCATTTTCTACTGGTCTAAATATGTGTAATCCATTTATAAAACCAAGTATGTCATATTTATCATGTGAGTGCATTTAATGTTTCTTGCAAATACCAACAGCCATTCCCACAAATCCCACCACCTTGAGCCCCGAAGGCTGCATTTACATACCCCCTCCCCCCAACACCTCTCTTTACTTTATCATAGTTGTTGAAACTCCACTGTATGTCAAAACCATTGCATTGCAAAAGCTTCAGCAATTTAAAGAAACAAGGAGAGAATGTTACGAAGAGAAGTCTATGTCAAATAAATCTTCTATGTTTTCCATATCAGATTCTCAACACTTCAGTAACTTTGGCTTTGACCCTCAAATTAACTAATTTTGCTTTCAATTCCATTTTCAATTCAATGCACATGCGAATTATGGACATTTTACGGCAAAACTTATTGACTTCAAGGGATTCTATTATTGTCTGTAAATGGGGAGTTACTGAGACAAAATACCCTCTCTTTTCAAGCATGTGACTTATCAATGTATCATTAATAAGATGACCTAAACTTTTTGTTTAGATTTGAACAAACTGGAAAAATGGCTGCTTGGCCTTAAAGAAGCCTACACCATCCGTCCAAATGTTGTCAGCACTGGGCACCTTACACTTTTAACTGGACTGGAACCATAACCACTAGGCCAAATCTTGTCCCCAGCTTTTCTTTGTTTTGCTTTGCTGCCTGATTGTTGCATTCTCTGTTTCACATGGAATCTGATTTATGGTCTTGGAATGTGCACTGCAGTCGCCTTTCCGAGTTAGCCCTGTTGTATTGTCAGAAGATCGATGATAATGCGCTATCTGAAATTGGCAGAGGCTGCAAGTATTTGCAAGCTCTTCATTTGGTAGATTGCTCGAGTATTGGGGATGATGCCATATGTAGTATTGCTAGAGGGTGTAGAAACTTGAAGAAGCTCCACATACGTCGATGTTATGAGGTGTTCTGTCTTTTTTTCTCTCTCTTCACATTTCTAGCATATTAGCATATCACTTTTACATCCTTTATGAGTTTTAAGATTTATTGTTATTTCTACCGTGTTAACATATATTTTTAACGTTGTGATATTTTGGGGACTTATAAATTTTTTGCATTTTTTTGATGAGAAGAAGTTAGCTGTTGTAATCAATTACGTCATCTTCTTTTTTCTACTGTGGGATGATGGAAGTGCACCTGTTTATTTCCTGGTTGAGGCAGGATTCTGTAACTATCACGGTTTATTCATTACAAGGGATGATTATATTATGATTAATTTGGAAAAGCTTGTTGTCTTTCATTAATGCTGTTGCTGGGGACACAAGTTCTCAACTGATAATTTCATTTATTAATATATTCTCTCCATAATGAACTAATGATGTCATTTTTCTTACATATTACATGACTATCTGTGTGTCTTCTGCTGTTGCAATATAGTGAGACAATCATTTTTTCCGTATTTTGAGTTTGATGTCAAGTCAGCCAATAAATCCTCACTGATTTAGAAGATTTCTTAAAGCTGAGTGTTTAAGCCACTTCCCAAGTCATGTTGCTTGAGATTAAGATGACTTAAATGGATTGTGAACACCTCCACATTTTGAATTTTTCAAATCAAATAATTTTGAACCCTTTTTGTCTGCGTCTAATCAGATGCTATTGGTTTTGAGTCCTTACATAGATTCTTTTGATGTCCATACCATTCACATCTCTGGATACTTTTAGTTAATTGCCTGGTCAGTTCATGTAATCTTGTGAACATTCAAATTATTCTAAATCTTAGTCAAAATGCCTCGTATTCTCCAACAAATTTTACTTATATAATCTGTATTCTTGTCTGTAATTGATTTCAACTTTATGCGTGTTATACTGTTTTCCTCTGAACTTGATTTCATTGGCAATTCATTTTAGCTTATCTTTCCATTATTGATAGGTGGGGAATGAAGGGATAATTGCCGTCGGTCAGAACTGTAAGTTTCTTAGAGACCTCAGCCTTCGATTCTGTGATAGGTAGGCAATTGCCTCTTGCTTTACTTTTAAACCATATACACCTTTGCATTTCCCACATCAACTTATTAGGCTGCTCATTAAGAGTTTTATGTTGTCACCATTTTGTTCATTTTATGATTTGTTGTCCTCTCATATTCTGTACTACTCAATTGGCTTCCAAATATGCGAATTTATTTGGTCATGTTATATCGTTAGTACTTTCAAGCTTCATAACATGATTTTTTCCCCCTTTCTCGAGTCTTTTTAGTTTGGTTGATGCTTGTAAAACACTGTTTCTTCTTTGAGTGAGGACATGACTGATTCTTACAAACCAACAACAAAATATCTGGTCCAAGAAGTTTATAAAGGATCGGGCTTATGTGTCTACTATTTTCTCTTGAAATCCATTACTTTGTTTTCCGAAATCACAGTTTCATTTACTTGGACCTAACAACGGTATGCTGTTTAATTACCAGGGTGGGGGATGATGCCCTAATTTCAATAGGTGAAGGCTGCTCCTTGCAGCATTTAAATGTAAGTGGCTGTCACCTAATTGGGGATGCTGGTATTACAGCCATTGCTAGAGGTTGTCCTCTACTCAGTTATTTGGATGTAAGCGTTCTTCAGGTACAACCTGCAGTCCTCTATCTCTAACCTCTCATCTCTCACACACAAATGTGCAATTGTGCTATTGTGCATTAATAAATTTCGAGATTTGATAGGGCATTGAAAACTTGATATCCCATATATGATTTAGATTACGATCTCACATCATTCAGTCGATGAATTTTACTTTCAATGGAACTCCATAGTTAAATTACTTTTGTAACTTTTTCCTCTTGGTCTTACAGAACCTGGGAGATATTGCAATGGCAGAGTTAAGTGAAGGTTGTCCGTTACTAACGGATATCGTTCTTTCACACTGCCGTCAGATAACAGATGTAGGTCTTGGCTATCTTGTTCAGAAATGCACATTATTGGAAACCTGCCACATGGTTTACTGCCCCAGGATCACTGAAGCTGGAGTTGCAACCGTCATCACTAGTTGCCTTAACATGAAAAAGGTCTTGGTTGAAAAGTGGAAGGTTAGCCAGAGGACCAAACGTCGAGCTGGATCCATCATCTCCTACCTCTGCGTCGACCTTTAAATGCCTTCATTTTTCTGAAGTTCGACAAGTTGAACGAAGATGAAAGTGTCATCGCCCAAGGATAACTGCAGCTTGTGTAATATACACGTTTCTTCATGTATGATATTTGTAATAAGGTTTTCTGGTTGTGGATGTAGAAGTTTCCATTTGTACCATTGAGTTTTTCTTCCTAAATTAATAACGAGGCAATTTTGCCTCATAGCACTAATTATGCAATGTCAATCGACATTTTATGAGGTGTGAAAGTATATCAACAAAAGTTTGTCATTTTACTAAGGAAAATAATATTCAATAGCAGGTGAAAAATATTTCTGAGAGAAGAAAAAATGGCGATGATGTCACAAACAACCATTAAAACTTGTGGATTTATTAATTTTATTTTAATATTCTTTTATTAAATTCAATAATGGTTAAAAAAGAAATATAAAAATTCATTTATCCGAACACTTGATGCGTGTTTACAATTTATCTATAAATAAATGAGTAATGTTATTTAACACGATGTTAAACATCAGTCAACGTGACATATAAGTGTTATTAATTGATAGAACGCATTAAGAACAGAAAAATGGTTTATATTTCAAAATGATCCATAACTGGCGTGCCACCTAAATTAGTATTATAGCACCAATGATAATACGTAGGATTATTCAATTAAAATTTAATGTTAACTTTTTTATTTTACATTATGGTTTTAAATGGTCTAGTGTTCAACTTGCCAATCATCGGACTTGGTTCAGCCCATCAAACTAGCCAACTCGTTCAATTGAAGTGACTCGACTTGCCTCACGAGCTCACCCTGTTGGTGGGACGAGTTGAGTCGAGACGAGTCGACTCGAGAGTAGCTCACGAATCGTTAATATATTTTTATTTTTTTCTATTAAAATTACATTCACTTATTATGACGAGTCGACTTAAAAAGATATGTACCCTATGAAGTACACAATCTTTTGTAGGGGGATAAATGGTTCGGTTTCGGCAGTTTTTGACATTTTTACAAACCTTCAATACCAAATTGTTTCAATCCACAACCAAACAAATCAAACATAATTTAGTTTGATTTGGTTCGGTTTCAAACTAGGTTTGAGCATTCTCAAAGCAAATGCTCTTGTAATCCCATAATTTCTCCAATTTACTCAATTTTTTAGATTACATAAATATCGTTTTAAGTAAAAAACACCTTAATGTTACCAACTAAAAAAGAGAATGTTTGGCAATAAGTTCGTGAGTGTGCAATTTATCCAATTCAGCTCACGAAATGCAATGACCAATGTCACCAAGAAGATTCATACTGTTCACTGTAATTCTTAAATTAGTAGGCAAACTTCAAATTTTTTTGTGGCTTTAAACTTTCAATCCCTTTTTTTTTTAAAAAACATTAGATCGGTTCCTTTAGGGGTTTGTTTCGGATCAAAACCGAAACATTGACTAATTCACGTGGACCAATTCAACGATTTCTAGATGCAGTTTCGGTGCAGATTGACGATTTCTGCTTACATCCGAACTTTTTTTTATGTAGTAAATAGGTTACAGTTTGTGCCTAACTCTCATCTCTTACATGAATCTTATTTTTTTTTTTTAAAAAAGACTTAGTTGTCATAGAGAGGTTATTTTGTCGATTTTTCTTCGAGTGATCAATATTGACGTGTACCAAAAAAAAAAGGGATATTTCTACGACATATATATAATTTAAACAATCTAGAGATCGATGAACAAATCTAGAAAGTTGGTAAATATATTTAGGCATCTTTTAACATGATGGCCTCCATGTTTACATCACTCATTATATGTCTTGAGGTCAAGAATCTCTTGGAACTCTAACAATTGTAACATGATTTAGTTTCTCTCTTATATGAATTCGAAAGTATTCTCCCTTAATTGGGCAAATTGAATCCTTGTTTGCTTATGGTTTTATAATTAATGTACATAAGGTTTACCTTGTTCGAAGACACAAAGTACATTATAAAAATTAAAAGAACTACACTTCGTGTATCTTGATCATACTCCTTGCTATCATGACGTCAAGTGTAATGTCTTTCCAACTTTTGATCACTTTCGAACAAGCTATTGAAAGATCTCGTGTAAATTTATTATTGAACCTTAAGTTCGGGAAGTCCATATTTTTTTCTCACAAACTTCATTAATATATATCAAAATGCATGACCGAACATATATGCTCGGATAGAAAGGTGATACCTGCACTCCGGTCGCAACTGCGGCCTTCAACTCAAATCATATGTGTGTGTATACACAAACGTATTGTTATATATACATGTAACGATACTCGTATATATTCACACATCTAATATATCATGTATATATGTTCAAACATATATGACTTATTGAGACCATGCTTGCGTGAAGCAATCAAGATTCAAGAGTGATAGAGCTTAGAATTGAAAAAGAAAAGGGAAAGACAGAAATGATGCAGCGTGTAGGGTTTTATCCACGTCCACAGATTTTTGTTGCGGGGCTCGAGAAGCAGTGATCATGACCCAGATTTATTTTTAAATGTAGACATTCTTCCGTACATATTTTTTATATCTATATGATTTTATGTTACCAAAAACTCCAGCAGTAACAACATATCAATAGAATTTGATCAATTATTTTTTCTGTCGTTAAGGCGAAGAATTGAACCAAGAATTCTCTTTCTTCATCATCAGG